ATATTAATGGTCAAAACCATTTATAAGTCCTTCCATTTACCAATTCTAAATTTAAGAGGATTCAAGATGTACATACAAGAATTTCAACTAAATCATTAAACCTCATTGCAACTTGATATGGATTGCTTAACTTCGGCCTATTAATATTATTTCTCCTCAGATTGTTCACGCTTCAATATGTCTGAATATAGCATACTAGTTTTCGATTCTATTAAATGTATAGAATATAATATTTAGAACACATGAACCTTAAACATTAGAATCTCACAATCTAATACACATTTCAAAATACAATTAGGATAAAGGTGGTTTGCTGAAACATGTAAACTTTCATAAAAAAATGTTAACCAAGATGCATACACAGTAAGACATGTAGACTTAGAGGTCTGAAGGTTAGACGTTTCTTGTGGGACCTGAAAGTCCTCAGTTCGATCTCTGGTGGTATCATGCATGTGTACTACAAAGAAGTCTAATATACTAGGACGAAATAACAGATTACAACTCGGATATTAGATAAACGATACTTCATACAGGATCTAGTCAAATGTCCGTTTCCGCTGTGGTATATAAACACAAACATGTTTTATTCACTATAAACACTGATTATTAGAATATCTGTTATTTTCCATATAAAGTCCTCGAACTAACATCTCTTTAGAATGAACTATTGAACCGAAAATTATGAGTAGTTGAATGAATGAATAGTCAAGACTAAGTTGAAACTTTTCACTATTAAGTTCACATCAAAATCTCATTCTTTGGAAAGTTCCAAAATATTTGTCTTTTTTAATGAGTAGATTACTGTTGAATTATTAAATTCCGTTGGTAGGATGTGTATTATTGCTAAAGGGATTTCAAAAGTTGTAAAACTGAATCCCACCAACTGTGATTAAATTATTTAAACATTAATTTATTTAAGCGGATATCTGAATGCATTCCAAAAAGAAATCAATAATCAGAACTAGGTATAATGGTAAGGCATTAATCCAGTACTGTTCAACAATACGACAAATATTTAAAGCATCGGCATGGGGTTGTGGAGATTGTTGAGTTTTAATTAACATCATGAATACCTTTGGATGCCGGCTCGGCGGTCTAGCGGTTAAGCATTCTCACAAGACCGAAGGTCCTGGTTTAAAGTCCTGCGTGAGGGATCGTGGATGTGCACTGCTGAGGAGCCCCACACTAGGACGAAACGTCCATTCAGTGCTCCCAGGTTTTCAATGGTGGTCTAACACTGATCAGTTCATGATCTCAATTGAAATGATGAGAGCCTAAAATACTGAATGGAACTTAAAATAAAATTTTCATTTAGTAGGAAAACGTATTTATTATTTAATTAGTCAGGTGAATTCCCAGAACTGAATCATTAAACAGGAGTTTAATGATGAAGTGGTCTCATGATTGACCTAAACCCTATGAAAGTCATTAGTAATAATAATAGAGGTAAGGCAATTAATAAGGAACAAGGAGAATAACTAGATGCATACTATGTAAAGCATTACTTTTTATTCATTTTTTTAATAAAAGATAGAATTCCTATAGTTGATAACTTTTACCTATTGCTCCCTCTCTCTTTCTCTCAACCAACCATTCACTCTATCTATCTGTTTATCTATCTTTCTACCTATCTCTCTATTTCTTACACTCATTTTCATTAAGTCGTTATAATGTGACAAGTGTAAATGTGAGAGCATTTCTCTGTTATCCATTTAATCACTGAATTATTCAGTCAGTACTAATTTAAACCAAACTTCATTAAACAGAAACCCAGTACATAATGTTGTTGATACAAAGTAACTATTCACTGTTTTACGAATTTATAAAATGAAACAGTTTGTCTAGCATTTATAATACGACAAATTGTGGACTATTTTAACCAAATTTCTGTTTGTGTGTGTGTGCTATTTGATAATATCTCAGAACCAATAATTAATGGATCTACTCATTATTATGCAAGATGAAATGAGTTATTCATTGTAATTGTAATCAATATCACTTGGACATTTTTCACAATTATCTAGCTAACTAATAAACAGAATTAATTAATAAGTATTATAGTATCTAATATGATAGGTAATTAAAATGTCAAAAATACTTCTCCCGTTAGTCGAACTAATGAAAGCAGATTCATTAATTGTATGCATCCAAGACCACACCGTAGATCTAGCACAAGACCTTCAGGTTTGACGGCGAGCGACAAACAATTTCCGATAAACCCTCATCTTAATAATAATAATTAAGGTTGTTATGTGCATTTGACAGACAATACGAATGCCGTAAATATAATATCACAATCAAAAGATGTTTCGTGACACATCATTAGGGGCAAACAAACTGTTCTTTCTTAGGGATGTCTCATCAATAAGAAATTAGAACAGTTAGTTGACCAGTTCAAAGAAGACGTATTATTGATTAATCACATATATGTATCTGAACAATATAGCTGAGTATCAACTTACGAAACTTATAATTACTGTCTAAACGAATGATTAAACAAAGTGAAAATTATAAGAAACAACATTAGCTAACAACTTCAACTAGTTATAGAAATATTGAAGTTGTTACATTATCTCTACTAAATTATTACCTGAATTATTTGCACGAACAACAACACACAAATAAAATGGATTCACTTCTCTTCATTTCTTAATATGAATCTCTACATTTATTCATTATAATTTAACAACTGATCATTTCAACTTAAGAAACAACACACTCGTTAATACCTCTTTAATAACAGTTGACTTTTGAAATCATTCATCAAGTGTGCAGTCATCTAGCACAATATTCCAAACAGTGATGCACAATATACAGGAAATATTCATTCCTAATTGACATTTCCATCCTACGATTCACTTATTGAATTATCTCTCACTAAATGATGCTTTCGGTGAACTACATCGAGAAAGACGATTCAAGACAAGACAGCATAAATGAATTTCTAATCACTGACTCGCAAAACAATTTAAACGATCGTCTGATAACTGACTTCGTCACATTACAAGCCTTCAGGTAACAAACAGTCATTCATGGTGTTTATGTTGGTTGATCGAAGCTAGATGATAGAAGAGCATTGAACGAGATCTTGTGGAAGATGACACTGGCCAACAAGTTCACTACAATCTTGAGGTAACTGATCTTTGTTATGGCATCCGAGTCCAGGTCAGCTAAATTCAATGCCACAGACCTTCTCATGGAGCTACTTCGACCAACATCCACATTCAATGACACTGATATATTTACAATTCATTCATTATCAACTGGTGACCAATATCACACTTATCTACTCCCTAATCTTCTCATCAATGAAATAACTCATATTAAGCTGCTTAAATTGCCAATTTCCCCTCACCGTACAAAATATCTGTGTACTGAATCCTTCACTGAACTGTAACCGATGTGTGTTATGTTTTACGATCGTCAATTCCAGTCACTGAACAGTTCTACCATATTCCGTAGGTTGTTTATAGTGTCACAAATATCTGCTTTCTCTGAATTCATTTCCAATCAACAGAATTGTCGTCCATCATCTCTAGTGTGTGTTTTACCAGCAATCAATGTAGGTAGATATATAAGTTGTAGATGATTTTCATAGTGCACTGACATATTCTGGGTAATCATGAAATATCTGAAAGTGATTTGATATTTTTTTCGTTAAACATAATACAGAAATAATTTCATAGGGTGTTATTTTGCTTACACAAACTAATCAACGCAGTCCTTTTAATAAGTGTTAAGACATTCTAAACTCATTCATAAACTAGTAATCTTTATGAAGACCTCTACATTTAATGGAAAGTATAGAATACAATAGACGACTTGAATGGGGCTAGACGATTTGAACTTCGCAGATGACCTAGCTCATCCCTATCTCTACACACCAACAAATGTATGTCAAGAAAACCAGTGTAGCAGAAGCCTCTGAATTAGTAGGCCTCAACATATACAAGGGAAAAACCAAGATCCTCAACACAGAGAACACTAACACCGTCACACTTGATGGAGAAACTCGGAATGAGGTGGAAACTTTCACTTACGTGGACAGCATCATCAATGAACAAGGAGAATCTGATTCAGATGTAAATGCAAGAATTGCTAAAGCAAGGGCGGTATTCCTACCGTTGAATAACATACAGAACTCAAAACAACTGTCAACCAATATCAAAGTCATAATCTTCAACACGAACGTCAAGGTAGTTCTACTCTAGGGAGGTGAAATTGGGAGAACTACCACAACCATCACCAAAAATGTACAAGTATTCATAAACAAATGTCTACTCAATATACCCAATATCCATTGGTCGGATACCAGTGTGGCAGAGGACAAATTAGCTTCCAGCTGAGGAAGGAATTACGAAAAGACGTTGGAGGTGGATAGGATATACATTGTAAATACCATCAAACTGCATCACTAGGCAAACGCTAACTTGGAATCCTGAGGGGAAAATGAAAAGAGCAATACCACAGAACACACTGAGCCGGGAATCGGAAGCAGATATCAAAAGAATGAATAGCAACTGGAAACAAGTGGAAAGGATCGCCCAGGACAGAGTTCGATGGAGAGTGCCAGTGGGCGACCTATGCTCCTTCACGAGGGGCAACTAGTGTAAGTGAGTGAGTAATTTTTTAAGAACAGATAGTTGTCGAAAATTATTGTTCTAATTAATAATGGTTCAGTGTTAGTCTTGAGTATGAGCGAAAATTCTAGATGGAGCTCTAGATACATCTAAATAACAAATCCGAATGAATAAGACATTTAGCTTTAATTATTCCCCATAAGCAAATATAATTTACTTGTGAATAAATAAGCATTTTACTTTTCTTGCAAACCGTATACTTGAAGGTTAATGATCTAGTGCATATCTTTGAGGACACTGTATTCACTGAGCTTGATGGTCCAGCCCTAAAGTTTATATGATTCTTTAGGACAACATCTACAGAAGATGCCTCATAAAAATGTATACAGATAATCAAAATGTTGAAACGTTGACAAATACCTGGCTAAATGTTCATCTTGCTTTAATTCGATATCACGAACTTCTTTTTCCAATGTCTCAATTCGTGTACGAACTTGTTCCAATTCTTCAGTAGTATCCATTAAAACTGTATCAAATCGTTCAGCTTCATCTTTGTAAATTTCAAGAAATTTATGCAACGTTTCCACATTTCTTGGATCATAAGGATTAACGATCTAGTTTGAAAAAAAGGCACGTTGAAGGCAACATAAAATTAGTCAGATTTAGAAAACTATATATATGATAAATACCTACACTCGTTTAACTAAATTTATCATTTACAACAAGCAATACAATCAACTTGATCGTTATTAACTATTGTTAACAATATTGATAAAAAGAATTATGTAATCACTGTAGGTACCATCCAGGTCGAAATATACCAAATCATTCTCTTCAATATATATAGCAAGTGATATAATTGAAAAAAGATTTATGGTATACCTCAATCTAATAATTAAACATTTCAATGTCAGGTTGATTTATTTAATAGTTCTGTTTGTTAATGCCTATTTCATAAGTAAAATCATTTTCAATAAATCGATCCGAATCATGACCGATTATTGTTATTTATCAAATTGTAAAACCCCATTTATATTTTTCAGAATTATGGTTATTTTATTCAGATTTCAACCGAAATGAAAAAAAGAACACAAATATTGATTAGAGTGAATTTACATTTCTATGACATTTCTTATTTTGTCTAGTTGGTTTATTTTTCATTTCGAATAAAGAATAATCATCAATTGATTCATTGAATCGCTGAATAACAGAAAAATACATTCATTATTTTAGGTGAGAATTCTTAAAAGAAAGTAGACAAAAACGCGCAAAGAATTCAAGAAATTTGTCATCTTTTGATGTGGGCGGGGGTTTTGTGGGGATTTTTAGATGATATCTGTCATTGAGTAACATCATCTGAGATTCTATTGAAAGATGCAACCAATAGACAGATATTTCATTCTAATATGGGACTCCTTAGTGATTTTATTGTTAATTAAGAAAGTTAAGGATAAATTTTTGAATAAACACTTTTTTCCCTTAGATAATCTTTGGAAAAATTGATAAATATCGCCATTGTTAAAGTGACAGTGAATTTTATTTCATGGATCATCGTAGCAATCCGTTCGTGTTAACAATCTACATCTAAGAAGATAAATTTTAGACAGTTTGAACGTTTCACTTTACTTATAACATGTTTATATACAAACATTAAAAACTCAGTGTTAAACACAGGTATGAGAAAATAACTATTCTTTTACATAAAACGATCTACTGCGTCTGAGTAACTTTTGATGTTCTTCTTGTTCAGCCTCCACCCTAAGCAATAACCATGTACTACTTTTCAGCTTATCATTTTTTTCAGAAAACTTTTATTTACTTTAACTATTGTCTATTGTCACTGATGAATTCAGATGAAGATGAATTAAGAAATTTTGGAATGAAAGCACTGAAAACTATCAACTGCACACAAATGAATTCGATTTGACGAGTGATACAAACACAAAGTAACCACACATAGAGGTGAATGGGAATTATGCGAAAAAATGTTTATTATTGTTAAATATCTCCTTAGTAAATGTTTTATGGGCCAATGGTAAGTCAAGTTCTGTTCTACAGGGAAATATGATGAATGTTATGTGTGTCTGTGTCCATGTTATTCCCATTTTATTTGTATTACAAAACATACATAACTAAATATCTCACTTTTTACAGAGTTAGTCTGATAAAAAAGACAGGAATATACTACGCACTGGTGAACATGATCTTGTAAAGAGATAGTGAGAGTAATAAATTTATCGAAAAATAGACATGCATTTAACCAGTACAAAAAGTCGTTACATAACATAACATGATAACATTTTGCTTTAAAGTTCCATTTCAGTTTGTCTATTACATTAATAAGATTTATCTTTATCACTGCCAAGTGAGTGCTATGAAAATATATATTAAATAAGCGTATAAAGAGTCTCTAGAGATTGTTGAACTTTACAGTTTACATCATGAACTGACTTCAGTTGGATAACCATTGAAAACCAGGAAGCGATAGATAGCTGTTTCGTGCTAATGTTCAATTTCTCGATAGTACGCAGCAATGAATCGAAACCATAGTCTTCAGGTATTATAGCGAGCCACTAGCGTTCAAACAACAAACGCATAACCACTCAAATTCAATAAAATTGGATGTAAGGCGCTTACAGATAGAAGCAGATTTAAAGGTCTTGTGTTTAATTCCATATAGGGTGTATGTGAGCACCACGGAAGAGTCTTACACTAGAATGGAATAGCTGTGCAGTGCATTCTAATTTTCAATGGTCATCTAACTAGGAGCAAACCATAATGTGATCCCTAATATTAAACAAGAATTTCTATTATAAACAACTGATTTTACTGATATTCAGTAGTTGGAATTAACTATTCAGAACCATAATTAACATCATTATGTTTGTTAAATTATTTGAATCATTTCTAAATAAATAGTCACTTGGCATCTAAATATTATTATCGGAACGTTATCGACATTACTAAAGAAGCTTAAATCTTGTATTTTTTTGTCAATGGTGAAGTTATTTTAAAATCCTATCCAGATGAGAAGAAATCTGTTATTACACAACAGTGTTACTACAAAATTTATTTTATAATGTATTTAATAAAGCTTTGTATAAAGTTGAAATTACGGTCATATGTACAGTGATGATCAATTAATCCTTGTTCAAAAAAGGTGATCACACACACACAGTCTCATAAATAACTTGATTTAACCGTTCCCTTCAGTTGTAATAAATAAGTTCATAAAAATCGGAATAGAAACTATCGAAACATGTGGTCAACAAATTTGTTGGTAATAGACAACTGAGTAGTTTCGGCTAAAACGTAGTGCAGCTTCATCAATCTTTTGTTTACTGATCTGTGTAATGAAAATAACAATACTACCTGACAGTCCAAATTGAATGAATTAAAGTACAGCTCCAAAGTACATCAAATTGGCTGAAGGTAAAATACTTTCATCATTATACTATTTCTATTTTTATTCTACACTTTATAGATGATAGAAATCAGTAGTTGAAGAAGTTACATTATATCAATAGATGATTGATAGGACCTTTTTCACTCTATTCTCTCTTATTCTAAATCTTAATCAGTTGTACTCTAAAGGTGATTAAAACTTATTTACTTCATGTTTCGTTTTAGTTGAGTTCTTTTTTCATGCTCGTCATTATGAGTACATAACTTTGTTTTTATTACTTGACGTCAATTTTCATCACCAATTCACAATCCAGATCAAATCAGATATTCAACCCATGGATTTGAAGTAATGAACAAGACCCATTGTATCATTGAAGAAGAAAGAAGGTAATTCAACGAAGAAAAATTTTCTTAGACGATTTCATTTACTCAAGCTGTACAACTGTATTTATAGTTAATTTTATTTGCTAAAATAGTGTTCTATGGTAAGATAGTATGATGTTAAATAATTAAAAAAAAGTTTGAAGTGGCATATTGTCAAGAATTTAGAATCGGATATTGAAAGTGCTTGTTATATCCAAACGAAAAATAAATGAATGACAACTCTTAAGAATTATTCATAGACTATAATGACATATATTCCTATTGAATAACGATTAATTAACTAGGTTATGTGTACATTCATATTCCTTTTATCATAAACTTTCATTTGACCTATCGGTTACTGCAATACGATTTACCACTCTTAACTTATTCCCAATTTATCAGTTACAGTATCCCACACTAACAGCCACTCTTGGCTTGATCTTGTATAATTGTTATTTTTCATTTTATAGTGTGATGACGACTGGTTCGCTTGTACATAAACTATGTATGTCTGATATATACGATTCATACAGTGGAGGTTGAGATTACTTTCTGAACCCCAACGGGCACGGCTGGGCGAAAAGGACCAATAACGATTCAGAGTTGACGTAAGGCAGTCAGTGCTAGTTGAAGTGAAATTAGTTTAGCACAAGAAAAAGGTCATATAAGTCGGTAATCTGATTGGCGATTTTGCCACATGGTTATTGACAGGGGTAAAAGTTATAACAATTATTGATAAGACTATAATTTACGGACGACTTTTGAGCGACGCTTAAATGACCTTGAGAATGTCCACCCAATAACTTGGACTGACTGAGGTTTATAAAACAGTGTGAAGCATTCGAATTCAGTCAGTCAGTCAGTCAGTAACAACGTAGAACTTCGTACGTACGTACATCAATTCGAGTTGCCACACCACATTAACACAGAGATGCAGTTATCGATTCAAATCCCGTAGTGGTAGAGGTAATAAGAGTATAAGCAGCATTCGAATTATGATTTTCAGTTGATTATTAGGGTTAAGAATTAAATTTAGGGTTTTCATCACCAAATGACATCAGCCAAAATGCCAAAACGCTATTTATTCTATCATCTTATATTTGATTAGTTCGTCCATATATTATATTCTCGCTCAGTTATCTAATGATCCACTAGGGAAAAGTGGTAAAGACAATTGTCCTAGTTTGCACCATTTGTAATAGGACTATAATTCATTGTGAATATGGACCAAAAATGACATCATGCAACGAATTAAAATAAAATAAACTACTGATACTTTTGATAAACTATAAATCACATGAATCCTAAAGTTTTATTTCAGTGAATGATTTATTTATCATTTAATTCAGTACTATAAATCTGTTAACCTTTTTACTTAAAGTACAAAGACATTCATTATAATGGTTAAAGCTTGTCAATAAAAAAGCTGATTATTGGATATTGCAAAAGATTATTTAAATAAACAGACCCAGAACACATAATTCAAAATGTGTTCAAATGGCAAATATGAATGTATATTTATAACTAGATCGAAATGTAAAACACTAGCTAACAACTTCAACTAGTTATAGAAATATTGAAGTTATTACATTATCTCTACTAAATTATTACCTGAATTATTTGCACGAACAACAACACACAAATAAAATGGATTCACTTCTCTTCATTTCTTAATATGAATCTCTACATTTATTCATTATAATTTAACAACTGATCATTTCAACTTAAGAAACAACACACTCGTTAATACCTCTTTAATAACAGTTGACTTTTGAAATCATTCATCAAGTGTGCAGTCATCTAGCATAATATTCCAAACAGTGATGCACAATATACAGGAAATATGCATTCCTAATTGATATTTCCATTCTACTATTCACTCATGCAATTATCTCTCACTAAATGATGCTTTCGGTGAACTACATCGAGAAGGACGATTCAAGACAAGACAGCATAAATGAAAAACTATTTCGCCTTCTGTTTGTTCATGTTTAGATACATTCACTCATTATCTTCCCTTGGATCTTGATTTTCAAGATATCCTATACTATTTGTTCTACGAATTCGTTCTTCTCTGTTGAATTATACTGTCTGTACCTAATGATTTTACTACCATTGATAATGTTACCAGTTTTATTTATCTGGTATTTGTCTTAATGATTTCATCCTTCAGAGCTGATATGCTGTGGTGACTTGGAATATTGCGTATGTATGTCAGGTTTGATGTTACTCATAATTGACCGACTGAATAATATTTTTTGAGGAAACATCGAGATATGTATTCATATTTGATTCGTCACCAATCGTTTGGTATTCATTCGATACCTGATCTGAAGATCATCTGTTTTACGCTTAATTTGAAATCTTACATACTATTGTTGTTTGGAAATGGGGATAAAATTTGAAAAATATTTCTTTACTTGTAAAATGGTAAGTTAAGGGAAAGTAACTTACATCATTTATACATTTATGTTCCGCAGTCGTTGAGGCCATTTGAGCATTTGCTGGTGTTGTTCCTCCCGATAATGTTGCTCCTTGTGACGGGATATTATTTACTTGATCTGCAACACCTGTATGATTTGGTAAATTATTCAATGTCACATGACCGTGATGATTACCGCCCAACAGAATCTCATCTTCACGGCGTGACAAACTATCAGCAAATGTTTCAAGAACACAACGTTGTTTTTCTGTACGGATAATTCTATTGACTAGATTATCTGCACGACGACGACATTGGCGTAATTCAACCAATAGCTCATTAACACATTGTGACCAAGTATCTTCTTCACCAGATAATGATTTTGCTGAAAAGCTCACATCTAGAATAGTTGCAGCTCCACGAATTTCCACACTGTATTAGAAGAAAATGAAAAGATTTAAGAGAAGTGTAATTATTTGAATGATTAGTTATAAGTTTGTGATAATGTCGTGAAATAAAATTAAACAATCTGAACAAACCTCCATCGTAGTAATAGTCACAATCCCAGTAGGGGATTATTTTAAGATACAACTTTCTGAGTTCTAGTGAGGAGCCGTAACCAGTATAGTTCAGCCGTATTTGGTGTAAGGCGATAATCCACTGATTATATTGGGAGATGGTTGCACATTATCGTGAGTTGACTGGAGTTACAAATGTAAATCGGCAATGCTGGATCAATAGTCTAATGCTTAAGTCCTCACAGTAAGACCTGAAGGGTCTGGATTCAGTCATAATTTAGGTCAGCGATGAGTAAATTTGAAGAGTTACACACTGCAATGAAATATCTGTCCAGCGCTTCCTGGTATTCAGTGTTTATCTAACTAACATTATTCATTGATGTAAGCTATAAAGTGGTTTCATTTAAATTACAAACTTAATATGGCAAAATACATTATTATATTTTGCATATATTTCAACTAAACTACACCATTTATCAAGGAAAGAATTTTACAGTTATCTATTTTAGGAATTGGATTACCATAAGCGACAAATTTACTTGACTTATTATTAAGCCACTTTATTTTGTCTAGTCAAAAATATTTAAACAGATGAACAATTATTTATTGAAAAACCACTGGATGAAGTGAAGCACAAAACACGAAGTGAACATTTTTGGATAATCCATAGAGTTATGATGCTATTTCATGAGTTTTGATAATTAGTAAAACATTCTAGTGACTGTAGTTTTAGTCCGCAGAGAAGAATAAAAACAATAGAGAATGGTTATATGAAAGATCACATTGTATTAAAGACCATATAATTAAGTTAATTTTTTAATATTTAGATCATATTACAAAGGTAGTAAGCGATTGTTGTAGCGAACGTTGAATTGAAAATTTGACATCACAAACTAACTGCTATAGGTGAAGTATTATAAACCTGGGAATGTACTGGTGTAAGTATAAATAAAGCATTTCATACGAAGCATGAAAGATCTGGGTCCTATCGTTAACGGGTTACCGGAGGCGCACTGCTGAAGAGTTCCAGTCTAGGAAGAAACAGGTACCTAGCGTTTTCTGGTTTTCAGTGCTTATCTAATTAAAGTGAGTTAGTGATGTAAAAGTGAGTTAAAGTAAACAATTAGTTCTCTTCTCGTTGATAATTTGGTCACTTTGAAATAAGTGTTGTTATCAACTGAACATCATCAACATAATATTACAAATATCCAATAATTCACTATCAGGCTTGGAAGTATGGATGGATTATATTTTTAATAAGTTATGTGCATTGACATCAAAGGGTCTAAATCCAGAGACTCCACAATTCAACCGTTTGATACATCTTTCTAGTGCAGTGAACTCTTATAATACCTTAATTACACCTGATTCGGTATTAGTTTGATTTGATGAAGTTCGTCAGTTAACTTATTTAACAGATGGTATCATTCGGTCAGTAACACTTTGTCTATGTCTTTGTGCCGTTATTATCAAGTTTTTATGATCACGTACGCTTGACTAAGTATGACAGCCTGTACATACATTTCTCTAACTGAAATCTTAGTTGCTTAAATCGCTCGATAACTCATACGCTTGGTAACATATATGGGCTTCTTAAATACATTTATTAATTTGCATTTGTATTTCTGTTCGTATTTGCCTACAGTGCATTTGGATTTCGCAACTGAGTTGTATATTTGTAAACTGTGGTCAACATTTCTTATTGCTTTCTGACACACCATTAAAAGTTATCTAATAACAGTTATCAGGACGACTGATATACGAAGAAATTCCACTACACTCTCACTACTAATAATAATTAAAAAGCTATGACACACAGAAACTTTGGGTCTAATAATAATGAGACACATACTCAAATAACTTAATAGAACAACAGATTATTATACCAATAACTAGATTTCATTAATGTAGTTTACAGATAACCAGCTACATGAAAACCTATAGTATTCAATGTTAGAACATGGACAATAAGTTTCACGTCTGAGTAGAACAAGAATGTAATAAATTATCTCTACTAGTTTCTTAAATAATTAATCATTAATCCTGAATATCATTTTTAAAAATAGTTTCCATTTCTAATCTTCAGATAGATATATAACCATGAATATCGAATAGGTCATTAAGTCATACTGAGAGGTGTATAAATCGAATAAGAAATGAAAAATATTTCTGCTGTTTCAACTGACATTTTCCCTTACACATCAATAAAATTAGGCACTCTAGCATAGTTTTTGGTTATGTGTGCATAAATATGGCATATATTGATTGGTATCTCCAAGTAACTATGTACTATAATAAATTTTAGTATTAAGATTGCCATTTTTCAATGATCTCTACAAATAACTTTATTTCATTGATATGATAAATAGTTGGTCTGCATCGATTTTTATTAGGGGTCCACAAATATCCTTTGATAACGTCTTTATAAGCCTAGAAACAGGCTGCGAAAATATTATTAGGTCAGAATTGAGTAAACGCTTCTCAGAAAAAGATGAAGGACTATTTGTCATGTTTTGTTTCTTCCAGAAGTTGGTAGTAAATAAAGATAATTTAAAACTCTATATATATACTCTATTTCCGGTAAGTAGATTAACCATGAAGTAAACCTTTAACTCGTATTGATCACCTTTTCTTTATTCCTCAAATGTAGAGGTGGTCTGGGAAAATAGAAGACGTTTAAGTTGAAGAACCTACGAATATCCTCCACTCTTACCGACCATGTTTCACAGCCATAAAGTAGGATGGAACGAACTGCTGCGCAGTAAACCCGTTTTTTGGTTGGTAGACGGATATCTCTCCTACGCCATAAATGATGCAAGTTAGAAAAACCAGTCGAGCCTTCTGTATCCGTGCTGAGATTTCACCACACACCAGACCATAAAGGCTGATGAGACTTCCAAAATAAGTGGAGCGGTCGACAAGCTCAACTACTTCACTACCTATCAATAGTTCAGGTGTCGATGCAACCCAATCCTGAAGCAACATTTTGCATTTCGAGGGAGAGAATTTCATCCCGAACATGCTTGCATTGTTGCTTATGGTGGTCAGAAGACTGTGCATTTTGTCAGCGTCTTCACCAAATAGAACTATGTCATCGGCATATTCTAAGTCAACAAGTGAATCTCCCGGTAAAAGTCCAACTCCTGTAAATTAAGATGAGGAAAACCACTAAACGGATATCTAAAACTCTTGATTTTAACGATGATTGTGTTACAAGTGTTAATTTATAACATAGAACATCATCTCACTGACAAATTCTGTTATGACAGTCACTAACCCTTATTTATTCTAATGAGAAAAGGAGTGATTAAATCTTGATATACAGTACAGTTTGTTCCTTTGCAAAAAATTGAACAGACCATTTCTCATGTAAATAAATAAATATTTAAAAATATAAATACTATGTAACAAATAAAGTAACTTCATAAACGACCTGATTTAATGATGACTGATTTTTTCGAAAAATGTAAGGAAAATAAAATCTACTGTATAGTGAACTTATATCCGCAAAACATTTCAAACGACACTATACTCAAGCATGTATATATATTAATTCACTAGCCATACCAAAATAACTCATGATACTAACGACAATGAGGGTAAACTGTGTTGGAGAAAGGATAATGATTATATTGAAGGCAAATTTATCAAATCCATGAACATTTATATGTTCATTTTGTGGTGCATGCTACTTACATTAACAGATATAAGTAATATATAACACTAATCAGAAGTGGACTGAATGGTAGCAGAGTATTGAGATTGAAATAAAATGAAGAAAGAAGAAAACTGAAAGCTGTCAAGATAATAACAGGAATGAAGGAACAACGAATTTTGTCAGGAACACTACAAAGATGTTGTGGAAATGATGTATTTAATGTATGATTTTTACGTTCTACCAAGTGATAGTGTAATTTTGCGTTAAACAATAAAGTGATCATCCCTATCAAGTATTCGTTCACTATAATATAATCAGTACCAAGTAATTGTATTTATAATAAGTAGTTATGACGTAATCTAAAGTATCTTTATGTTGACAAATGTCCACTTATCAGTTAAAAGTTCAGTACACATAACAGATGTTTAGTTAACTTTTTTTTGTAACTTGAACAGATGAATACAATGCCTAAAAGTTAATGAACTTTTTTGTTTGTTTTGATATTTCATTCTTCTTTATCCTATTCTTACAGGATCAACTAAATTATCCAAAATTAGGGAATACAATATTCTGGATTAATAAAATTAGTTACTGAATAAAATAGCTGAATCTTATCATGTACACCTCAAACTAGAATATCGTCAAAAGCAATGGTAAATTGTAAAAATAATCAGTATGATGTAAGAGTATTAACATGTGTATTTTGTGAAAAATCAATCTCAGATTTAAGATTAAGTCTCATATACAACAAATTAATATGTTTCAATGAAATGGAATACAGTATAGGGGTTATGGGGATTATTAAGTTTTTGATTGAGATCATGAACCGATTGATGTTAGACCACCTATGGAAACCTGGAAGCACTGGACGGCCATTTCGTCCTTTTGTGGGACTCCATCACCATTGGATGCCGGCTCAGTTTTCCAGTAGGTTAAGCGTTCGCGCGCGAGACCGAAGGCCCTGGGTTCGAATCCCGCGAGCGGGGTCGTGGATGTGCTCTGCTGAGGAGTCCCACAATAGGACGAAACGGCCGTCCAGTGCTTCCAGGTTTCCAAAGGTGGCCTAACATCAATCGGTTCATGATCTCAAAGAAATACATTTATTTTAATGTGCTCATAGCAATGATGTGAACTATTTTAAAGAAGAATATTACTTATTAATTGCCTACTCATCTTTAATTAGTTACTTATATAACTGTGCTAAACTTATTTAAAGTAAACAAATCTTCTAGTATATTAAAATAAACTTTGTTAAA